AGCTTGCTGGGTCTCGCTCCTAGCCACTCTTTCAGGAGTTCCACTGCTGGGTTCCACACCAAGCCTGACTGCTGGCTGGAGGGGGAAGTTCCGGTGAGGCACAGGGCGTGGCTGCTGGCTGGAGTCAATGGGTCAGTCAGTGGGCAGGGTTTGGGAGAGTCCAGTATGTATAATTTCTTCTTTAATTTTATCTGTGACCCACTGATTATTCAGGAAGGTATTATTTAGTCTCCAGGGAGTTTTTGTGATTTCTTTGTTCAAAAATTCCAGTTTCACTGCACTGTGGTCAGGTAATATGCATGGCGTAATTTCAATTCCTTTTCATTTAAATGAGCATATTCTATATACTAGTATATGGTCTACTTTGGAAAATATCCTGTGTGCAACTGAGAAGCATGTGTATCCTGATGTTGGTTGTAATACTCAGTAAAAATCTACTAAGTTCATTACTTCACAATTTTGGTTTAGTTCTGTTATTTCTTTGCTGATTTTTTTGCCTAGTTGATTTATCTTTTTGTGACAATAAGATTTTAAATTCTCCTACTCCAAGAGTCACATGGAGAGAAAACATTCTCTTAGGCTTTCACAAGAGCACATTGGTCAAGCAATGGCTGTGACTCATCCTCATGGCTGACACTGACAAAGGTTCTACAATCTGAGGTACAGGATCTCAGGATAAATCCTGAGGGCATTTCACTGACTTTATCAGACCCAAAAGCTACAACTCTTGTTGCATACATCCTGCTTTACTTTGGTCTTAACTATCCAGCAGAAAAGTATAAAAACAAAATATAAGAAGTAAAGCCATGCTGTTATGTTGAGCTGTAGGGGACTCAGGTCAACAATTTCTGACATTGCCAGTCAGGCAGAAGACCCAATGGGCTACTGGACTCTTTTGGAATATTTTGCTGAGTTTACACACCTATAATATTCAAATAATGGAACTTAACCCCAAAAAGGGCGTACAGATGAATGTCCATTTTGCATCTGTGTATTCAAAGTGGTTAGGATAGATATATAGTTACATTCTCTTAATGAATAGAATGATTTGTTCTGATGGTGTTTGTAAATAAGATATCATGTCCGCATCTTGTACAGCAATTAACCACTGGGAAGAATGTATGCAGTGTGTTGATTATTGAAACTGTCCTACCAATTTGATTTGAAACTGTCTCATTGCTATTTGCTTATCAATAAAATTATGGAAAAAAAATCTCCTACTCCAATTGTATTCTTGTTCATTTGATTTTTTTATGTCGGTTAACATATGTTTTATGTAGTTGGCTGCTCTTATACTGGGTGCATATACATTTATGATTCTTCTCTCTTTCTCTTGTAGTTTTCCCCTAACAAATATGTAGTGAGTGTTTTTACCTCTTTTAATCATTCTTGGTTTGAAGTTCATATTATCAGCAACTAGAATATTTTCACTTATTTTATTTATGTTTCTGTTGCATGGAATACTATTTTCCATCCTTTGAATTTCAGTCCGTGATCTTTCCCTTTGAGTTAAATATGTTTCAAGAATACAACATATTGTTAGACTTTGTTTCTTTTCCTCAAAAAATACTAATTAATAAACAAATTCACTTGGTACAGGGTCTTGCTTTCACCTCAGACTTGTAGTGATCCTCCTGTATCACCTTCCTCAGTACTGGAATTACACAGGTTTGGTGGCTGTCATGCTGTGCCCATGATTCTGGGGCTGGCATGGCATGTGGTATCTAGTGTGTTAGTTGATTCATTGTGTCAACTTGGCTGAATCAGCTCTGAGAGATCTCAGCATGGGGGCCTAGCCCTGCAGGTGGGCAGGCCCAGGAATTGAGAAAGGCAGAAAGCTGTCCTGCCTGGTTTCCTGCCACCCTGCCCCGCTTCCATGGAGAAGTCTTAGTCTTCAGAGGAGCTTGATCTTGGCAGCCAGGCTACTTTGGAGGAGCTCTGATCTTCACTGTGGAGTGCTGGTCTTCACAGTCAGTGCAGAAGGAAGAAAGAGGCTTGATGGACACCACTGCAGCTGCTCCTCCTCCTCTGCTCTTCATTGTTTTCTGCCACATGAACTGCTGTTGCTTGCCTTGGAGCCAGCAGAATATGGACTGAACCCTCCAGTAACTGTGAGCTAAATAAACCTTTCCTTCCTTCATTTTGAGTGTCAGGTATTTGTCCTGGCAATGAGTAAAAAGTAACTAAGCCACCCAGGATCGCTTATAGGTCCTTGAGCTTTTTGATTCACTCTGTTGGTCTGTGTTTTGTGATTGGTGAATTTGGGCCACTTATATTGATGATTATAACTGAAATGTACTGACTTATCTTTGTCATGTTAGTTTCCCAATGAAGGTTTCCTGCTTTCACCCCCCTCTGTTTAATTTTTTCTTTGGTTGGTGGTTCATTTCTCTTGTTCTTAAAGATTTTTGTCTCTTTCTAGAATATATGTTAGTACTCTGTAGGGTTGGTTTGGTGTTCATCAATTTTTTCAGTTATTGTTTTCCATGGAAGTATCTTATCTCTTCATTAAATTTAATTGATACTTTTTCAGGGTACATCAGTCTGGGATGGCAGTTTTTGTTTTTGTTTTTGTTTTTTTCAGAACTGAAATACTTCATTCCAAGCTCTTCCTAACTTAGTGGTTTCTGTTGAGAAATCTGCTGTGGTTCTGATTGGCTTTCAATTATAGATAATTTAGTTCTTTTCTGTGAGAACTTTTAATATTTTTTCTTTTGCTTAATTTCTGGAATCTTGATTATTATATATCTGCATGTAGATTTATTTTGTTTATGGCTAACTGGAGTTGTATATATCTCTATACATCTGGCAGATTATTTTCTCACACCTGGCAAATTTTTTGCTACTACTTCTGCAAATGTTCTTTTTGTCACTTGTGTTGACTCCTCTTTTTTTAATTAATTTTATAGAGAAACATATAACAATGAGACAGTTTCAAAACAGGTTAGTAGGACAGTTTCAATAATTAATACATTACATATTGTTGTCTTCATATTAGTCATTCATAGTACAAGATGCAGACATGATATCCTGTCCAAACACTATCCGTACAAATCTTTCTTCTCATTGAATTAAGAGAAAGTAGCTGTGTCTCTATCCTAACTGTTTTGTATATACAGATACCAAAATGGTCCTTCATTTATATCTCCATCTTTGTTTACTTTTGTCAGAGATGGGTATTCAATTGCTATTTAAATATTGTAAGTGAAAGGGGATACAAATGAAGAACCATTTTGTATCTACATATACAAAATAGTTAAGATACATATATAACTACTTTCTCTTAATTCAGTGAGAAGATAGATTTGTACTAATAGTGTTTGGACAGGATATCATGTCTGCATCTTGTACTATGGATAACCACTATGAAGACAACAATATGCAATGTATTATTACTGAAATTGTCCTATTAATCGGTTTTGAAACTCTCATTCTTATTTGTTTCTCAATAAATTTAATTAGCAATAAATAAATATTATAGATATGTGAATTCAGCAAAATAATCCAATATCGTCCAGTAGTCAATAATAGTAGTGGGCTATCCATAGGACTGGCAATGTCAGTAGTTACTGACTTGAGCCTTTTATAGCTCAGCATATTAATGATTCCTCTTTTGTTGACACCCATGAGTTTCATATCGTTTTTCTTTGAATCACCTTGAAGCTGTCGAATTGTGATTTCTTGTTTATCGTTATTTTTAGGAGATATTTTCATTTACATTGAAGAGTGCAATGCTATCTTCAAGGTCTGAAAGTCTACCTTCAGTTTCATTCAGCAGTTCTGTCAGTTTTCAATGGAATTGTTAATGTCCTGGATATCTGCTTGAATCTGTTTCTTGTATTATAACTTTTCCTGTATTGTTTATTCAATGTTTTTGTGAGTTTTGTATACTCCTCTATTTTTTAATCTATGCCTTCCTTAGATGTGCTGAGTAATTTTTTCACAATTGTTGTCATTTCTGTGTCTACTTGTGAGATTATTTCTGATGTGATTTGTTCTATAGCATGATGAGTGGTTTCTTTATTTCAGTTGCTATCATTTCAGAAATTTCAGGTCTGACTGCCATGTTTTTCTGTTTTTGTTTTCTGAACAGATGCTGAGTGTGTTAGCAGATTGAGACTGCTTTTTGCACCTTCATTTTAACATTTTTGAAGTTCCTTATGTTCACCGATGCTTAACAGTGATGGTAGGAGGCAGGGTGAAGTTCATAAAGTTCCCTGGGACTTTGGGGGGTGGATTAGTCTCACCAAACCTCCCATTGTGCAGGTTTCAGCATGACTTTGGTGTTGGTGAGAGGCATAGGAGCTGCAGCTCAGGAAGTCTCATTGTGCAGGTTTCAACATGACTTGAGTGTTGGTGAGAGGCAAAGGAGTTGCAGCTCAGAAAGATGAGGAGGACTAACCAAAGCTTGGAAAACCTCTTGCAATGCTTGGGGATTGGGGCAGGACTCACTTGGGCCCCATAGCTGTCAGGGTCCGAGCCTGCATTCTCCTTCAATTCTTGTTTTATAAATGAAAAAGTTGTAATTATTTGATATGTACAATGTGTTGTTTCTACATATGTGTAAAATATGAAATTGTTACATTATGATGTTTAGCACATGCATGATTTGATACACTTTCCAATTTTTATAGTGAGAATTCTTAAAACCTATTCTATTATGAACTTTCAGCCATACAAAATATCATTACTAATATAGTTATTATGATGTAGAATAGATTTCTTGAATTTAATCTTCCTACTTAACAGAAACTTTGCGCTCTTTGACCACCTTTCCTCCAATTCTCCCACCCCAAAGATCTGGTAGGTACCATTTTACTTTGTTTCTATAAATGTAATAATTTTAGTTCCTATATATTAGGAAGATAATACAGTATTTGTCTTCTCATGTTTACTTATCTCAATTAACTTAATGACTTTCAGATTCATTCACCCTGATGCAAATGACAGTGTTTTCTTCTCTTTATATAGATGCACAACTGAATCTGAAACCCAAGACAATGGATGTACAGAATTATTCTTTGGTGTCAGAATTCATATTGCATGGACTCTGTTCTTCACGATATCTACAAAACATTTTCTTTGTATTTTTCTCTGGCATATATGTGGCCATTATTCTGGGTAACATCCTCATCATCATCACTATAATTTCTGTCCCCAACTTGTGTGCCTCTCCCATGTACTTCCTTTTGGGGAACTTGTCTTTCTTGGACATGTGGTTGGCCTCTTTTGCCACCCCTAAGATGATTAGGGATTTCCTTAGTAATCAAAAACTCATCTCTTTTGAAGGATGTATGGCTCAGATCTTTCTCTTACATTTTACTGGTGGGGCTGAGATGGTGTTGTTAGTTACCATGGCCTATGACAGATACGTAGCCATATGCAAACCTTTACATTATATGACAATGATGAGCCAGAGGACTTGCATAAAGTTGGTCTTGGTTTCATGGGTCATTGGGTTTCTACACTCTATCAGTCAAGTAGCTTTTACTGTGAATTTACCTTACTGTGGCCCAAATGAGGTGGACAGCTTTTTCTGTGACCTTCCACTAGTGATCAAACTTGCCTGCATGGACACCTATGTCTTAGGTATACTTATGATTTCAGACAGTGGGTTGCTTTCCACTAGCTGTTTTCTTCTCCTACTAATATCATATGCTGTTATCCTTTTCACTGTCTGGCAGCATGTGGCAGGTGGTATAACTAAAGCACTCTCTACTTGCTCTGCACACATTATGGTAGTCATACTATTCTTTGGGCCTTGCATTTTCATTTATGTGTGGCCTTTCAGTAGATTCTCTGTGGACAAACTCTTGTCTGTGTTTTACACTATTTTTACTCCACTCTTGAACCCCCTTATCTATACATTAATAAACAAGGAGATGAAATCAGCTATGAAGAAACTGTGGAACCAACATGTTGCTTTTCACTGAATTCCCATTTTCCACAGAGTTATGCATTCCTCATGTAGAGAATAAAGGGAATTAATGGAAACTTATTCAGGGAATAAAGTTTATTTAATATGATTCTATTCAAACTTCTCCTTCTGGCATTATATTTATTTAATTGTAGTGCATTATGTTACACATAATTGATTTCAAAAACCTCAAACATATTTTGGAATAAATCCTATAGTTTTCTTTCTTTTTAAAAACTAACTTCATTTTACTAGTTTATTTTTATTTAATAGGTGATACATAAATGAATTTTCATATTGTAGTCATTCTCCAATGCAGCATAGGAGAGGTATTCAAAATATGGGATACTTGACAGGAATACTAGACAATAATAAAGTAAAAAAATGCACACTGCATCTTTGGCTTGGTTTGTAAGAAATTTAGAAGAGCCAAAGAGATCTATGAACTTAAGATCTTATTGATTTAAAAATATATTTTGAAATTATACTTTTAATTGTATTAATATATTATTATACTATACTTTAGATTTTTATCTATTTTTAATTTTTATTCATTTTAACAAGAAAATAAAATAACAATAAGACAGTTTCAAACAGGTTAGTAGGAAAGTTATAATAATACATAGCATGTTGTCTTCATCTTGTCTAAACAATATTATATAAACTAACTTCTTCCTGCCTACTACCAGTCTCCTGAACCCCACCTACTGCCCTCCCAACTGACCCCAGCCAGTGGCCAGGACCCCACAGAACTTCCCACCTACCTACCTGACTCTTTCAAAACCCGCCGACGCCAGATGAACCAACCCCAGCCAGCGGGTAGGCCCTGTGCCCTGACAGAACTTCCTCTTCTCCAGCCAGTGGTCAGGCCTGGTATGGAACCCTGCAGTGGAACTCCTGAAAGAGTGGCTAGGAGCAAGAACCAGGCAGCTAATCCAGGAGCAGAACAGAATGCAAGTGGGGCATAATGGGGTCACTTCCCCACTTTCCCAGGCAGCAACAAGAAGAAGCCAAGCACAGCAGCTAGACTCAAGCAAGGTCAGGTGAAGGAGGTCAAACTTGATAGATCTGGATTGGTAAACTGAGACACACTGCTAGATTCATAACTATGAGATAATCTTTCTCTCTCTCTCTCTCTCTCTCTCTCTCTCAATCAAGAGAGGGGCCAACAGGTAACTGGGGTGAAAGTTTGCCTGAAAGACTCTGAGTACATCAAAGGGAGGTGATCAGACAGATATCAGGGGAACTAACTTAAATACAAATTCCCAGTTTTATATCTGCTTAGCTATACAGTCATAATACTGGCTATTAGGGACTAAAATATAAATCCATCAATTACAGAAGTTTCTCAAGAGCTACATCACACTACCCATTTTTAGTGATACTAATGGTAGTACTGTAACTACAAACTGCAACTGCCTTAACCACATAAACTGCCTTGGATAATAATATCGGTAGGAGCTAAGGTACCTACCACATAAAGGCTCCACAACAAAGGTCAGAGGTCAGTGCTATACAAAAGGACAGAGGGAAAGGGCAAAATGCAGTCCAAGGTCACAACCCTAACCTGAACAAGTGAAGGATACATGAACACTGAAAGAATTGAAAGCCACACTCCTGAAATATCTGAAATAATAGAATCTGAAGAAAAGAAAGAACAGCAAAAAGCTAACGAGAATATCAGATCAGAAATAATTGCCAAAGTAAAAAGGAAATGAAAATTATAATGAAAGAAATACTATGTGCTTCTAAAGAAGACACTGATAAAAAATGGAGGAGAATAGAAAAATGATGGAATCCTAGCATGAACAATTTAGGAAAGAAATAGAATGCATGAAACACATTAAAGGAAATATACAGGAAACTAAAACCTCAATCACAAGGTGGCAAAACTGTTTTAATGAAAGTGAAGATAGAGTATCAGATATTGAAAACATCATTACAGCTATTGGAAAAATAAGAAAAAGATTTCCTAAATACAAATAGATTGCAGAAAAAAATAATAAAATATCTGCACGATGATGCAAAGATGAAAAACTTAAGACTAATAAATAGGTATCAATGAGAAAGAAGAAGTCAATAAAAATGATGTGAAAAAAATATGGGCAGAATAGCAGAAAACTTCCCACATATGGGGAAACAATTTGACATTCAGGTAATTGAAGCTTATAGAATTCAAAATAATATCAACCCAATTAAAACCACACCCAGATACATAACAATCAAGATTACAGAACTCCAGCAAATAAACAATGTACTAAAAGCCACTAGAGAAAAGAAGCAGATCATATTTAAAGGCAAACCCATCAGAATAATGGCATATTTCTCTTTCCAAACCACCAAATCTAGAAGAGCATGGAGCAAAGTAATTCAAGTCCTCCATGAAAACAAATTCCAGTCCTGATTACTATAGCATGAAAAAGTCTGTTTCAACTTCGATGGAAAAGTGAACTACTTCCATGACAAAGAAAAACTAAACAATTCCATGATGAAAAAGCCAACCCTACACAGACTACTACAACATATTCTGGAGAGGGACCAAAATGACCAGAAATCCAAGAATGAGAATGTAAAGAACCCACGAAATAGGGCAACCAATTAAGCACAATTGAAAATAGGTATACAACAGCAGGTAAATAAAATGTCATCCATAAGTCAATACATCTCAATTATAGCCATCAATATAAATGGACTCAATTCATTTAAAGGAAATATACTGGTACAGAGGATTAGGAAGCAAAATCCTACAATATACTGTATACAAGAAACACACTTAACTCAAAAGAAGTTCATAGGCTGAAAGTCAAAGGATAGAAAACAATACTACATGCCCCAAGACCTCAGAAAAAAGCAGGGGTAGCAAAGCTGTTCACAGAAAGTCTGAGCTTCAAAGCAAGAATGATGAAAAGAAATAAAGAACGCCACTACATACTGGATAGGGGAAAAATACAAAAGGAAAAGGTAACACTCATAAATATGTACTCACCAACCATGAGAGGACACAACTATATAAAATAAATCCTAATGAACATGAAAAGTCCTTTTTCCAATACCACAGTCTTAACAAGAGCACTTAACATGCCCTTATCCAAAAAAGATAGGTCAAGAAGAGAGAAAATTAGTAAAGAAGTAGCAGAACTGAATGAGAACTTAGAATCAATGGACTTAGTGGACATATACAGAGTGTTTCACCCAACCGCATCTGAATACATGTTTTTTCAGCGCACTTGGGACATTTTCTAAAATAGACTATGTACTAGTCCATAGATCATGCTTAAGTATATGCAAGAAAACAGAAACTATCCCATGCATATTATCCAAATATAGTGCAATAAAACTGGAAATAAATGACAAAAGAAACTGCAAAAGCCTCATAATTACCTGGACAGTAAATAGCACCCTCTTGAGCAACCAATGGGTCAGAGATGAAATTCAACAAGAAATTCAACAATATCTACAATTCAATGAAAATTCAACTACAAATTGTTGAAATCTATGGGGTGAAATGAGTGTAGTTCTTAGAGGGAAATTTATAGATGTGAACTTACACATGTTGCACCCTGTCAAAATTGACTCCATTTTGTTGCCCTTCTAACCTCTCCAAATTCCTGTTCTGTATGCGCTGATCCCTCCCAATTCCTCACCCCTGTGACTCAAGTCTTATGAAATCTGTTCCTCAAACCTTATCTCAATGAACTATTCCTCCCAATTCCTCACCCCTGTGACTCAAGTCTTATGATATCTGTTCCCCAAACCTTATCTCAATGAACTATTCCTCCCAATTCCTCACCACTGTGATATCTGTTCCCAATGAACTAATGACCCTTCCACTTCTTCCTCTCCACCCCCTCCCTGTTTGTGTGGTTTTCAAGCTTAAATACTGACCCTTGTCAATTCTTGGCATGCACTTAGGCACTTTGTGCCGGGTGTTGCTGCTGGGTATCAGCTAAAATAAAGCACTTCTTTTAACTTTTGGACTTGCCTTGTTGTCATCTGATTTTTAAGCTACAACAACACATTAGGAAAGCACAATGGGGATAAATAAATACCCTAGCGCTTCACCTCAAATGACTAGAAAAAGAAGAGCATTCCAAACCCAAAGAGCAAGGAAACAGAAGGAAGCAAGATGAGAGGAAGAGCAAGAATGGAAGAGCAAGGAAACAGAAGAGCAAGGATGAGAGGAAATTAATGCCACCAAGACACAATACAAAGAATTAATTAATCAAATGTTTGTTATTTGAAAGATTAAATAAAATTAATAAGCCCTAGCTAAGCTCATCAAAAAGAGGAAAGAAAAAGCTCAAATTCTATCAATAAGGAATTAAAGATTATAATTACAACAGACCATGTAGAAATTCAGAAAATCATTAATAGGTACTTTGAGAATCTTTACTCTCACAGAATTGAAGACACAAAAGAAATGGACAGATTTCTAGAAAGGTAGAGATTACAACATTTAAATGACAATGGAATATCCTTCTCTGACAAAATTAAACAAAAAAAGGGGCTACAAATGAACTACAGTTTTGTATCTGTATATTGAAAATAGGATAGATATACAGCTACAGGTACCAGGAGGATAGCTCAGTAGAATAAGTGCTTGCCTGGCAAGCAGAAGGGCCTGAGTTCAATCTCTGGTTCAGAAAAAAAAGGTATATAGCTACATTCTCTTAATTTCTTAATTCAATGTGTAGAAATATTTATTCTAGTAGTGTTTGTGGACAGGATATCATGTCTGCATCTTGTAGAATGAATAACCACTAAGACAATATACAATGTAGCAATTATTGAGATTGTCCTACTAATCAGTTTTGAAACTGTCTCATTGCTATTGTTTTTCAATAAATTTTTTTTATTTTTTATTTTTATTTATTTTTTTTCAAAATTTTAT